TGACTAACTCATTAGTCACATTGTTTGCAAGCTCTTTAAGATATTGTATTACCGAGAGGGCCCAGAGATTTCTCTCCGTCATACGGAGTGACAAATCCCAGTCTTGATCCATGCCAACCCAACATATAGTCTGGTAGAGGCATACTAGGCACACTGTGTAGTTTATGTATTCACACATGTATTTAAGTTTTCAGTCAATACAACTCTAGCATGAACAATAAACATTTGTCATGAATGGAAATATGATAGTAACTATTTTATTATTGCCTCTAAGGCATACTTCCTACAAGTACATGCGTCTACCACGAGATTGTTTTAATGAATATCAGTTGATCTATTGACTAGCATCCTGGTCTTATTTTATATAATGCACCGGAGTCCTAGAATTTAGGGGAGTCCTTGTCTTGTGCGCCAAGTCTTGCGGAGTCTTCCTTGTATGCGTCATGGGCTGCCCGAAGTGGCCCATGAGTGAACTGCCATGGGGGTCCTCGGCCCGATCCACCTAGTCGGGAGACGACATGGTGAGTACCCCCTAGTCCATGACACTGTCAATCCTATCTTTGAATAATTCTAAAGTCCCCACCCATCAACATGTGTAAGGACTCAGAACCACAAACCCATACCAACTCAGCTAGGAAATTAGGTTAGACCTCAGGTCGGGCTCTACCTTAGACCGCCACTAATGCCCATGAGGAGTAGTTTTCTTTCAAGCGCACATGATATTTGATAGAAAATTCATGGACCTTCATATTTAGTACAAAAACCGTAGTTTTATTCACCCCTTGCAAAATACCACATAGCCTTTCCCTAGGAGGTAGCCAATAGCAAGCCTAATCAAGATCACACCATAGGTAGATCAAAAAAGGTGTCGAGAAGTTCGAACGTCCAGTCTCCATCAGAGCAATAAAGTCCAAGTTTTGTTCTCTAGAAGTGTCAGAAAGAAATTGTCATTTAGCCAAGTCGAAGACCTCTACTATTTAAGATAATTATTGTCTCTTTTTTGTGTGGAAATGATAAGATTTATTATAAAAGTTCATCATAAGTACAAATCATCTCAAACATAATAGAAATTACTTCAAGATTCTAAGACCATCGAACCACCACTATTTCCGCCAAAATGAGCCACCGATGCGCCACTGTTGTCGGTCCCCTACCGAAGCCGATTTGACCTTATCAATGATAAGCGGGAAGTCTTTGTGTGAGTGCCCCTAAGGACCGGCACCCTGGAGTTGCAATTGTCGCTGCTGAACCCTTGCATAGATCTAAAGCACATGACAACAAATCTCACCATATGACAAGAAATCCTAACCTCACAGCCCCAAGGAGACAACGGGAATCTATGCCGAAGCTCTGTCAACTACGTCCAAACGGACGAACTCGAGGAGGATCAAAATCTATAAGACAAACTCGAAGAAGAAGTGCCGCCATCCACCCGAACATCGCACCTACAAGGACTAAAAAAACCTAAACCAAACTACTAACCGGAGCAGAGGCACCGGGATACTCCTCCCCGCCACCAGCCGCTGGAGCAGCAGGCAGAGGGAAGGTGAATCCATGGGCTCGCCAGTTAAGTATGGAGGAAACAATTTGCCCTTGCCGCCTAGGGTTAGGGAAGGAAACGAGAGGAAGACATGTTAGATAATTACTCTCATTGGTAGTAATTTTGTGGACTTATCATGCGTGTTACAACACACTACACAATACTTAGGAGCCTTTTCCATTATTTTTGAAATGAAGGATGACTCCTGGCCTCTGCATCGAACAATGTACAGAAACATCTTTATTATATTATTCAACAACATTTGACAAAACACGAGCCTTTGTCCATGTATTGCCAATAATGCTAGTAAACCAATTGAGCTAGTGCATGATATGTGCATGTATGTATGTACAGTGGATCTTGACCCCTGCCGATAGGAGGGCTTCGTTTTTTCATGCTTTCTTGAGTTTTGTTAGGGTTTGTGTTCTACTCAGAGAGGCGAGGCGGCGGCGGTTCTCTGAAGATGAAATAAGATTCTCCTCGCCTAGTCCCCGTCCTGGTGGTGTTTCTAGTATCGTCGAAGGGAGTGTGGAGGTTTGTCTTCGACGAATCTCGCGGGTTTTGTTCGTCCTTTGTCTTCGGTGGATCTACGTGAATCATGTCTTTATTCGTCTATGTTCGTGTGTGTGTGTACATATTGGATCCTTCCGATCTATGCTTCTCTTCATCAGCAGTGGTTGTTGTCCTGGTGCGCTGGTCCTGTGGAGGCTTAGCACGATGACTTCTCGACTGTCTAGTACAACAAGGTTTGCCCGGCTCTGATGAAGAATGGACAAAGACAGTGGGGTGCCTTCGGATTGCTCCAATACTTGTAGTCGTCGCTAGGTGATCTAAGGACCTGGATGTATTTTTTATTTCTGGTATTCTTTGTACTATCTTAACAGTGGATGAATAGAGCGGATGTTTTTCATTGAAAAGGTGATAAATGGATATATAGGCATGCGGTCATGCATGCATGGGATATATACGTTGCAATCTATCGATCTCGAATTGCTGCATTACATGCACTGTGTGTACATACTCTTGGCTGTCGATCTGCTGAGGTAAGCGATAGACCAGCACTTGCACTTGCGAGAGAGAAAGAGACCGATGCCTCTTGCTACTTGCATTTGGTGACTAGCTACATTTTTCATCTTCATGCGTCAGTGCCGTTAATTTCCTAAAACCACAAATGAAGATGCATGGATAGATAAGACCGAGCATGATTCCTAACACCAACTCTAACAGAGTCTGTCATATTGACAGCCTTCATAACACATACAAAGCATGCTTCATATACATATGGAGCATGCCTAAGTGAGCATAAATTTGGAGTCGAACCTTTACATCATGTGACCCACTCGTCAACGGGATACTCTTTTTTCGTAATCTCTTTTCATCTCTATATGAGGTGAGGGATCACGTGAAGCTTTTTCGCGTCACACAGTTTGGATGGCTGAATGGAGTGCACTTCAAAAGTTGACCGCAAGACATCAAATATGAAGGCTGAAAGACTAGATATAAACAACGCTCCAAAAGATATGGCGATTTTGACAGGTATGACCATTCTACTTGAATGATTTTTTTGGCCGGAACAATTATATTGACAATTATTATGGCAACTAGAGTAGACTCGTATGACAACTCTGCTAGAGTTGCTTCAACGGCTACCTTAACGGTGGATTAACTTATTGTAAATTTTCTCGTGAAAAAAAAGAGTTGCTCCAAAGGTGTAGACTGGTGCTACACCTCTGAGCATATATGGTAGCTCAATTTCTATATATGTTTTGACCTTGTTTTATTGGCTTCTTAATTTTTGGGTTCTCTGGTTTAGTGGAATAAAAAATGATTTTTACATTGTACTAGAAATGACTAGTCGATACATTAGTATTTATCGTGGCATGCATGCGCAAAATTGTATGTGCTGTACGCTTCTCTGTGTGTACTTTGACTTTTCGTTGGGTAAAATCGCCGCTGATATATTTACAACATTTGAATTTTCATAATTTTGCTGAATATGTGCAGTGGTGGAAACTATGATCGAAACTTATATATGATCACATATCCAATATAGAGAAACAAAACTTCCAATCAATTTAAGATAAAATGTTCCATAGGAAAATGAACATGAAACTTCATTTACCACATAAATCAGTTCACATATTTCAAAAAATTAACAGGTGTACAACCCATGTCACTAATTAATATACAAGGGCTAAATTACAATCACCACAAATATTTCTTCATCCATGCATGTATATACATGCAGCTTTAAAAAAATGTATAGGCTGAATTAGATCATTGACAAATATATGGCATCCAATGCTGTCGTAAGTGGCATAGACTTGAAAAAGACGTGGGGGGAAGCTTTCTCGGATTCCATTTCATTCAGTGGTTGGCATCTGAAATATTCCCACAATTTCTTGCTTGTCCCCGTTTAAAGTTCTTTATTAAAACGTTATCCCGTATGCCTGTGAGCTCCTTTATCAAAATGTTAAAACGTTATCTCGTATGTCTGCGAGCTCCTTTATCAAAATGGACATAGACACACAGATATACTTTATAAGATGGATATCTACAAGTGCCATTGAATAATTACATAGGACTGTCCTGCTGTCTTCGGTAACACAAATATGATGTGCTCCAACCTTTTGCTATTTTCATTTACAGAGATGTCACATGTACTGTATACATCTGTCAGTCTTTGCTCTTAGAGCATCTCCAACAGGCATCCAAAAACTGCTCCGCGCGCTAAAAACTGTTTTTTATTTTTGACGCGGAGACACTTTAGCAGATGCCACAAAATAATGCACATGCAAAAAACTGCTCCGCACGCGCTAAAAGGCGCTATCGCACGCTGCAAATGTTGGACGCCGGACCGCGCGCTTCATAATTTGCACTGTGTGTTTTTTTGGGCGCGCGTTTTTTGGCATATGAAAAATCAATGTTGTCCACGACGCGCTAAAAGTGCTATGGTGACGCTGTAAAATATTTTAGCGCTCGATATTTTTGCGTCTATGTTGGAGATGCTCTAAAGAGAGCAATGCTACTTTACTTCGAACTACCCTGAGGTAATCTCCCTCTCCCTTACTCTTCTTTGTAGCTGTTGTCCTTGCCCTCTCAATTTTCTCACATCAAAAACTGACCCTCAATTTTGCAC